ATTCTATGTGGCTGGTGGAGGGAACATAAATCACAGAGGCCCATCACTCTAGGAATTTGGGGACAGACCCAAGCAATGTCCAAAAATGCAGACTCAAGAATCGGCTCATGTCAGAGAGGAGTGCCAGAGTGGACTGGAGGGGCGGCAGGTGGTGTGGGCCGTGTAAAGCTACCTCATAATCAGACTGGAGGTAGAACTTGAATTAAGTTTTCCCTGGCAATGGATTAATTAGACTGTCATCAAAAAGTCACTTTATGAGCAGGCTCAAACCCCAGCCTTTTCTCATATCATGCCTCGTCCTGTTTCAGGGAAAAACTCAGACTCTTGGGTTGGGACTCGAGGGGTGGGTAGAGGATGGGTGGGCAGGCTTGAGGGGACTCTAGGTGTGGGAGCAGGGTGAGCAAAGGCTTGGGGGGAAGGTGGGCAGTGCCTTAGGGAAACCAGCTTTATTCTCTTGTCCCTGGAGGGTAAGGAACCCTGGAGAGAGAATGAGGCATGATATGGGAAGAGGCTGGGGTTTGAGCCTGCTAAAAAAATGACTTTTTGATGACAGTCTAATTAATCCATTGCCAGAGAAAACCTAATTCAAGTTCTACCTCCAGTCTGATTATGAGGTAGCTTTACACGGCTCACACCAACGCCTGCCACCCCTTCAGTCCACTCTGGCACTCCTCTCTGACATGAGCCGATTCTTGAGTCTGCATTTTTGGACATTGCTTGGGTCTGTCCCTAAATTCCTAGAGTGACGGTTGCTATAGTAACAAAACATTTCTAAAGAAAAAACAAACTGGAGCTAGTCAAGAACATAGATTCAAAGGCAAAATCCATGGCATTCGACCCAATAAATACCCATCAATGGGGCATGCGGTGAAGCTTTAATTATTGGGCTCGGAGATCAAAGGCACATTACTCACCAATGGAGAAGCCAAATGTAAATGAGGGACGTCTTTCTTAAACAAGTGGTGACAACTCCCTGAGCTCAGCGAAGTGTGCCAACGTGTTTATACACACAGTCACCCGATGGCCCTTAAACACTCACGTGAGCAGGGGAGTGAGTGTGCTATTGTGTTGTGCTACACGCAGGACAAAGTGTCCTGGGTGCTGCTCACAAAGTACTCAAGGGTATTAAGGTCACAGGGAGATGGGTTGGGGCACGAGGCAGAGGATTCTTACGGGTGCAGTTTCAGAGAGGTTGTGCCAGGAGCCTGTCCTGAGCACTCAGCCCAGAGCATAGTCTGGATATTTGTTAATGTCTGTACTGTTCCAGTCATTGTTTTCCAACTTAATCATACAACGATCTGAAAAGCTGGCCATATGCTCTACTGCAGACCCCAAGGAAAGGAGGAGTGAGATGAGGCCAGAAAGTCTTTCCATCAGTGTCTATTTTGAAAAGATATTGACAAAAGAGTGGGTTGGAGTAAGGGAAAGAGACTGCTTTTTAAGTTTGGCAATTAGCAACCCTGGTCTCTGTGGTTCGGTTTTTCATTATTGAATACAGAATGAGAATGAACAATTTATTTCCTCAGCTCCTGACCCTCTTTGCTCTTAATCACTACAGCCACACAGTCCTATCACCCTATGTCCTCGCTGTGGGGGAGGGGACTGACAACCACTTTCTTCACTTTGAGGATGCTGCACTGTTTCAGATTTTCAAAGGAGAGAGGGGAGATGAAGGAAGCAGGGGACAGTGGGGAGAGAGATTGCACCATCCTCCTGATCTATTTGCGAGTGGCTCAGAAGTGAGAATGTAGAATTAAAACCTTTGCAATCCGGCCTCAGTCAATCTCTCCAGTTGTTTCCCACTTCTCTCACCTTCCCAAACTCTTGACTCCAGGTGTACTTACTTATTGTCCCACTGCAGAAATCACTGTAGATTAACTGCCCTAAAGCCATTCTGAATATCATTCGCCTTTGCTGCTACCCACTACAGAGGCTGGAAAGCCAAACACATACACTTTCCCATCTCCACCACAGGTATGTGTGGCCCACCTATCAGTTCTGATGCATTGGATGTAAGTGGACATCTGCTGAGGAGCTTCTGGGAAATGCTTTCTTAAAATTTGTTCCTTCCAAATGAGACATACAGTTTTTCTTCCTATCTCCTGTTTTCTGCCTTAAACATAGATAAGCTGGCAGGAGCTACAGCAGCCATCTTGCAGTCATGAGGGAAAGAGCAAGGCCAGCACAGAGATGTAACCATTGAGCCACTAAAGCTATCTTTACATTTCTTACTGTTGAAGAAAATAGCACCTTATCAGTTTAAGCTACTGTTGGTTCAGTTTTCTGTTATAGCCTCCTGCATCCCTGAATGATATGTGACCCTGAACTAGGGGCTGGGATATAATGGAGAACAGAGCAGGTATGGGCTCCTTCTTATTTAACATTATTAAGTGTGAGACACAGAAAAAAAGGAGATGAGTAAGTCCAAAAATAACAAATGGTGGTTTGTATTATGATGGAAAGAAAAAAGATAATGCTGTGATGGAGAACTCTGGGGGGGGGGTGCCTATCTTATATAGATAGAGGGGTCGTGGGAGGTCTCTTTGAGGAGAAGGGGGTTAAGTTCGGGCCTGTAGGATGAGAAGACCCAGCCATTTGAAAAGGAGGTGGAAAGGGTTTTAGACCGAACAGCTAGTGTGAAGGCCCTGGACAAAAGGAGCTTAGAGTGGTCAAGGAAGTGAAAGCTCACTGTCGCTAAGGGAGCAGGGAGAGATGTGAAAGGCAGGAATGAGGGGAGTGGGCAGGGGCCCGGCCTGGCAGGTCCTAAAACGGAGTTTGCCTGTTAGTCTAAGGGCAAAGTGAGTTTTTAAGCAAAGACCCCTGTGGATGTTGGGTAGAAGATGGACCAAAGGGGGGTGAGAGTGGAGATGAGGAGATCAGTTCAGAGGCCGCTGGAGGAGGCCAGGGAAGAAAGCTGGTGACGTGTCCTCGGACGGTACCAGCAGGGACGGGGACACAGTGTCATTAGGACTTGCTTCTCACTCCTTTTTTTGTTTTTTTGTATTTCCTCCTGTACCACTGGCAGTTTCTTTCAGATCTTTGTCTGGCTCCTTTGCTCAGTTCTCCTCTAAATACTGGGGTTCCTCCAGATTCTTACCCAGGCTCTCTTCCCTCTTTACCCTCCAGCCGTTTCCTGGCAGCGTCCATAATGCACCGACTCCATCTGTATGTTGATGACATCACCCATGTATCTTCAGGTTGGGTTTCTCTTTTTAGCAAGAGACATGCCTCCAACGGCCCATGAGAGAGCCTCACTCGGATGAACCACTGGCCTGCATTCTCTCTTCTGGACACTAGTCCCAGGCAGCTTGCTTCTCACCTGGTGCTCCCTCCCGACTCAGAGAGTGGAGCCCCGTCCTGGGCACTGAATCTGACGCCTTCTCCTTTATCTCCCTCACCTGTTGCTCACCACCTCCTGTTGATCTGTTTCTCCCTCCAAACTGCCCACTTCTCCCCATCCCTACACCGTGATCCTCACTTAGGCCTCCATCATCTTTTATGCAGAGTCTCCTGATTGGTCTCCCTGCCTCCTGGCGCATCCACTTCCAAACCTTTTTCCGAAATGAAGACCGAATTTTCCCTCTCAAACACGACGGTATCATGTTCCTGCTGAAAGCCATCGACTGATTTGTCAGTTTTCTTAGGATAAAATTCAAATCCTTGACATGACTAAGGCCCCTGTGGCTGCATTTTTCTCTTGGTTCTGAGTCCGGGGTCCGAGCCCGTGGGCCCCTCAGCCCCCTTGTCTGTGTGTGTGTGTGGGGGTCATAACAATACAGGCCTCCCAGACGGGGTAGGTGTAAGGCACCCAGCATGGGGTCTGTCAGGTGGCCAAGGCTCCGAGCTGGTGCGCTTTCCCACTGGCCTTCAGAGTCAGGCAGGCCCGTCTCCCAGAAGAGGGCGCTGTTCGGAACAGCACGAGGACCGGCGAGGACGCAGTTCCCAGTCCCAAGCCTCATTTCAGCCAAGCCCGCTGTGTCCAATGACAATCCTTCATGCTGAGAAAGCCTACTTTTATTTCTTCCCTCGTGGGCACCCTGTGGAACCCTCACTGCTCAAGCAGTAATCTGCAGGGGGTGCTGAGCTGGGCCCTCTGGAAAACTACTCCCGCTTTCCCAGGGAGCGCTGTGGACAGGGCTGGCCCTGGTGACCCCTGGAAGGTCCGTGCGCCCTCCATGTGCCCTGCGACCTGCCCTGTGACCCTCGGGCACTTCTGTCCTCACTGGCTTCCCCTACCTTTCATGCTGCCTTGGGTCCCCTTTCACTCTCTGCAGGCAAACTACATATTGCTTCTTTCACTTCTGTCCTCATCAGTGAATGGCACTGGGCCCCCAGCTTTTTCTAATCCCATCTCATTCCCCCGAACACCTCCTCAGGGCGAATTCCCCACCTTTAGGGTTGTGTGTCAGAGTCTGATAAATTTTCTCCTCCAGCTACTTTTTTTTTTTTTTTTGGCTCCTGGATGCTTCGTAAGCCACAGCTGCAAAAAGGACCCTCCACTGACGATCGTGGAATCACTACCACACAGCCGTGGTATCTGTGATTCAGAGAGGGCCAGGCATTCGGTGCACGTCCTCCTACCCTGGGGTCTTTGGGTTTACATCCTGGAGGGTTCCTGCCGCAGTAAACACCATCAGTAACGCTTATAGATAATTATATTATCTATAAGATGGTAGAATCTTTAAAAATATTTTTTATGTTTCAATGAGTTTACTCTCAATATTATTTTATATCAGTTTCAGGTGTACAGTGTCGTGGTTAGAGGATCATACTTTACAAAGTGCTTCCCCCGATATTTCCAGTACCCACCAGGCACCATATATAATTATGATAATATTATCGACTATATTCCCTGTGCTGTACTTTGCATCCCCACCACTATTTTGTAACTACCAATCTGTATGTAACCTCTTTATCTTTCACCCAGTCCCCCAACCCCCTCCACTCTGGCATCCAAAGGTGGTAGAATCTTGAAATAATTATACTTAGGATTTGTCTCAGCTGTTTAAGTCAAAGAACTTTATTTTCAGTTTCTTTTTAAAACAAAGCTCTTATAAGAATCACAGATAAAAGATTACACAATTACATTTCCCCCTCAATTACAAAAAATGCAGATTCAAGAATTTTAAAGTATCAAGTTTTTTGAGGCCCAGATAGCTGGGAAAATGCTGCTGGGGGTTTCCTGGTCTACCACAGAATATTCTAGATCAATTAGAGGGATGTGGCCTATCTCAGCTGTATTTCCCACCAGGAGAAAAAGAGCCCCAGCGTACTGAACAGGCTTATCTCAGAAATTTGGCAGTAACTGGCTTGGAAGGAATGCTGGCAGGGCTGAAGTTGCAGCTCAAAGCCCACCCAGTGCGTGGGCGCAAGCCCAGATCCTGCAGCACTGGCTCACGTCTTCACCAGCCAGACCTCGTTGCGACGTCCGTAGGGCTTCATGGGAGGGTCATATCCAGTGCAGAAGTAGATGTCACTCCGGTAGGTGGCTGTGCCCTCCAGGGCGGTGCGCAACTGGGCGGCTTGGGCTACGTAGTCGGCTTCCTTGGCATAACCCCCAAACTGCCTGAGGGTACAAGAGCAAGGGGCTGGTTAAGAAAGCACACAGTCTCCGAGATATGGGGGTCTTTCCAAAAAGGTCACTCCAGGTGCTTATTCTGACAGTCAAGCTACCATGGTAAGACTGTGAGCCCGCTACTTCCTAGATGGGTAGATTGGACCTCTCTGAGCTGTGGACCCTCATTTGTTAAATTGGGGTAGGTTTTCTTTTCCCTCCAAAGTTGTTATGAGCATTAAGGCAATTACGGTTGTGAAAACCTCTGATGCAGAGCCTGAAACACAGTATTTCCACACGAAATGTGAGCTTCCCTTTTCCTGTGATTTTCCCCACAGATGGCAGCTGACCTTCACCCCTTTCTCTAGCTCCCTCTACTGCTGCCCCTCTTCTCTGCCTCAGTCTCCAGCTGGGAGACCTCCAGCCAGGAGGCAGGATAAAGGGGAGTCCAGGTGCAGCTGTAGGTGACTGGTTCCTCCCCCAGCAGAGCTGTTTTCGGACCAGTGAGCCCCTCACAGCAGTGAGAAGCAGCAGCTTCGTTCAGAAACAGAGCTACCAAAGGTGGGGACCTGAGGAAGCTGTGGGAGCCCCTGGGCAAGCTTTAAGCATCCCCCAAATAAACAAACTACTTCTAATAAATCCCTTCCCCAATCAAATCATGAAAGCCTTCTTTTTCTAGTAAAAAGACTTATTTTAAAATCAGGGTTTTCTCCTGATGACAGAAGGTGGCGACAGGAAAGCAGTAGAGCCTCTGTTTTCAAGATTATTCTTCTCTCCTTATGTCAGCTGCCTACGCTCCAGAATTTATCCTGTGGCCTGCCCTAAATACACCACTCTGAATCTGTGTTGCCCTAAAATCTTTATTAGAGTCAAATACATGCCCATTTCTAATGAGCTTTATGACTCAAAAGTCTGAATCTGCATCAGGCCAAGATTAGGCCAAATGCGTTATTTTTGGTGGGGTTCTCTGACTCATGCTTTGCTCTTTTCCAAGTGGTTAGTCACGCTCAGCAAGCATTCACCACGTTGATTACAGGGTTATTGACGTGAAAACACCCAGGACTTCATCTTTAAGAGATTGGTTATTATAATGTCTAGACAACAGCTACAGACCAGGGACAGGGCTGAGACTAATTTGGAACAGAGGAGACTCAGCTCCTCAGATACATTGGAGAAAAATTATAAGGCAGATGAAGAAAGTCGAGCTCTAGCTTCACTGAGGCTCAAATGAGAGGAAGCTGGATTAGTAGACGGAGGATGAACACTAAGGCAGTCTTTTCAGGCAAGCAAAGCCTGCCAGACACTGCAATTATTTTCAAAGTATGTCTACAGATTGAGAACCACCTGTCTGAAAGTAATCAGACGCTGGGCGAGGGTACGGGCGTTGAGGGGCTCTCTGTAGCCCCTCTCCTGCTGTGATACTAACTTGTTCTTGTGTGGAAGTGGGTGATGTTGGCTCGTGAAGCTGCTGGTTCTGGGAAACATCCAAAGGAGTGGTTCCCCACTGTCTTCACTCATCATTTGGAGGAGAACGTGGCTAGCCGTGTGCTCAGCTCCCGCCTCTGCCACTTTCTAGCTCACGGGCTTGGGCAAACTCTTTAATTCCTCTAATCTCTCCCTCATCTGTTACATGGGGACGAAAGCATCTGTCCCAGATGGCTGTTGTGAACCTTAAAGGAGAAAAGGTTGTGTAAACTGCTCAGCCCAGAGCCTGACACACGGTGAGCTCACAAGAAATTGTAGCCATTGTTGTTACTTCACAGTTTGCTCAGAACAGCCACTCGATTCCCTGACTCCGGAGGTGAGGGTATGATGGTCATCTAAAATCGTGTCAGGAAGAGGGCCTGCTGGTAAAGATGGCTCCGTCAGCGATCTCACCTTCTCCAGTAGGTCTATGGCAAAGCCCTATTTAATCTTACAAACCCTCTCCCCTTCCCCTTTCTCCTTCCTTTTATCTACTTTATCTGTACTTACTGTGGTCACTGCTTATGACCTGAGTTCCCTGGTGGAATACAGGCTCCACGAAGCAAGGATCTTTGTCACTTTTTTGCTCACTGGTGTGAGCATCGACCCCAGTGCCTGACACATGTTAGACTCCTTGGCTAAATGAACGATTCTGGGATAAACAACGGAAGTTCCTGTCTTCAGGCTGATAGACCTGAAGATGATAGTGCTTCAGTCCGTTTGCCTCCAGGTTCACGTATGCCCATAACAAACACCCAAAGGACATACTAAGGGGACAGCAGAGGGAATTCAAGCAGGAACAGTGGATTGGCTGGAGGCACCTTGTGAAGGGACTTTGATCCTGACCCCAGATGCAGAGGTTGGTTTATGAAGGGGTTTTACAGTAAGAGGTTGATACGATCAGACTGTATTTTGGAGAGACGCCTCCGGTGGCAGTGGAGGGGCAGGAGAAACGGAGTCGCTGGGGGCCAGGAGCAGCCCAGGGTGAGGTGACGAGGACAAAGGAGATTTGAGAGGTGCCTGGATGTGGAGTGGAGGTTGGGAGGAGGGGAGTCGGAGATGCTCCAGGGCTTCCAGCTAAGCCTCTGGCTGGACTGATGCCACGAGTTGGAGTAGGTAGGGGTTCTAGGCTGAAGCATCGCTTTGGGAGGAGGGTTGGGAGGGTCAGTAATTTGGTTTGGGGCATGTCAATGTGCTTAAGTTGTCTCTGTGAAATACAGTCATGCATTGATGACTGTGTACCTAAGTGCATGGTAGGCACTGTGAAAATCTCCTTAGAACTGGGGAAGGACTGGCATCAGAGCTATTGATTTGAGAGACGGATGAGTCTAAGAGATGAGAGAAATATGGGATTTACCAAAGAGTAGGTGCTGGTTAGAATCGTGGTAAGGAGGGAGACCAGGCATAGATGGAGAGCAAACAGAGAACCAGTAAAGTGCTCTGGGGACTTGTAGTCTCCAAGCGGTGGGAAGGACGAGGACCTGGCAAAGGACTCTGAGAAGGAGCTGTCTGAGAAGCACAAGAAGACCGGCAGAGAGGGTATAGAGAATGTCAGCACTGGGGGATTTCTAAGTTCATTATCAGGGGGAAAAAAAACCCCAACTGTTTATATTTATCCCCATGTGGACAGACATACTGGTGCATAAAAATTTTGCTATTGCTTCATCCTGGAAGCCCTCTACTAGCAATAAGCAAAGCTGGGTGGGCTGTGGAATAGATGTGTTCTTCTTCCTGTCAATCTAACCAAGTCACAGAACAGCGTGACCAAGCCAGAACACCAAACCCTACCAGGCACACAGCCCTGATAAATGAAGGAAGCCCAGCCCTGGCTGCCACGCATGTGTTCCGGGACAAGCTGCCTCATTCCTCTGCGCCTCAGCTTCCAGGCTGGACTCGCAGGGTAACAACGCAGCGCCCGCAGCTCTCCAGATTCACGAGCGTGTGTGAGTATGAGTTAAGGCTTGCTCATAAAGTGCCTGGAGTTCCTCAAAGGAAATAAACGTGAAGTCTATATATTATTTTTGTAAGCCTGTTAACAAGTCTCAAAGTCCCCATCTTCAAAGAAGCTCTCCTGGGGGCGCTGTATTTTATCTCACCCAACATCAGAGCTCAGCATTCCTAATGAAGATTTTTTTGGTTACCATGGCAACCAAGGACATAACACACGTCTTCGATTCCAGAAATACAAGAGACGCTAACTAAAAGGGTCTGGAAGAGTTAGAGGTGGAGTCGGGGGAGGAAATGATGCAGGTTCAAGGACACAAATAATCCTAACACATTGTCTCCTGGGGAGTGTCTGATAAAGACAGGCAGTGAGGAACAAAGAGAAATGGAGTGTCTCTGAGCCTGACCATACAAGTTGGTCTGAAGCTTTAGCAATTGACATGTCAACACAGATTCGTGGAGAGTCTGCCCTACGTGTAGCTCTGTGCCAGGCCAAAGAAATGTAAGACTAGCAGCTGACAGTCTCATGTCAACAGGAAAGAGGCTTAACACCATAAGGAGTTTCTTAGTATCAGGTCGGGCCAAACTCAGTGAGCTGAGCATCACTGAGCATGAAACCCAAGCCAGACACTACAGAGTCGTAAAGATGATACAGATGTCTCTGCCCTTGGGAGGGCTAATTGTGGTGGTCGGGGCAGAAAGACATAAAGACAATGTAAAGGGCAGAAGGTTCTAGAATTGAGGTGAAAGGCACAGACAGAATGATCTGGGGGTGGGTGAGGGGGAATGATCTGGCTTAGAACACAAAGGGAAGGCATTATGGAGGATGTGATATTAAGCAACTATTTATTGAGTATCTCTTCTTAATGCTAGCAATGAACCATACGACAAAAATTCCCGTCCTCCCAGGGCTTGCAATGAGCAGAGAGACTGGGGAGGACATTTGAGAAGAGCGGGATGAGCGGTGCTATGGAAGCGGATGTTGTGTGTGTGTTCAGGGAGCCCTTGGGAGGTGGGGGTGGGGTGCTCTGAGAGATCGGTGGACAGTGGAGTGGGGCTATGCGTGGAGGGCAGTAAATGCCACGTCAAGGCATTTTTACTAGGCTCCCCTCCTTGGTTAAACATTTGGGGATGCAACCCAAAGATCACCCATCCCCCACTCAGGGGGGAGGAGCATTTCATTGCTCGCGTCAAGCAGTTAGGACTGCTTTTGTCCCGGTCCTAACGTGTGCCTCGGTCAGAGGCGGGCGGCTGCCCCTGGCCGGCGCTGAGCGGCAGGGGGAGTGATGTGATCGGCCCTGTGCTTTCGGGCTGCCTGTGAGCACCTCAGAAGGGCAGAGGAGGGAGAACTAGAAATAATCAGGAGGCCCTGGCAGTTGTTTAGGCCAGAGGTGATGGAGACCCATGGCAGTGTGGATGGAAGGGAAGGGGCAACTAGGAGGTGACCAGAGCTTGGCCAGTAGTTGGATGTGGCAAGTGGAGGAGTTAGGATGCCGTTTGAATAGGATGGGTAGGAGAATGGAGGGGACCTTCAGTTAGAGAACAGGGGATCAGAAAGTTGAGTTCGGTCTTGGACAGGTTGACCTGGAAGATAGCTGAGGAGGTTTAGGTGGCGATACCTCTTAGTGAGCAGGATTTGTGAGTAAGGCTGGTGCCTGGGAGAAAAGGCAGTGCCAGCCCTGTGGACTCAAGCTCATCCACCCAAAAATGGTGACCACAGCCCCTTCCAAGGACCAGTTTGTAAAAGACTGGTGGGGCAACTGGCCAGTTGCTGGGGGAGTGAATGGTTTAGATTTTAGGTGATTAATTTAATAAAAATTTCTTTTTCGGAAGGAAACAGGTCCCTGGTCCTGGGGCGCCCACCCCAGACAGTGTCCCGAGGGCCACACCCATCTGCCCCGCGCCCCAACCCAAAGCCACACCACTAGATGATTAGGTTTTATAGCAGAATCTTATCATTGGCAGGACTTTAAGAGGTGAGGCGGCTTACATATCAGAAGTACTCAATTGTCAAATTGGACCAAACTTCCCACTTAGTACAAACATACATAGCATAATTGTCACATGTCTGTCCAGATGGTATGTGAATCCCTCCAGGGCAAAGACGGCATTACTTTGTCATCTGTCCGTTTTGCTGATAGACACCCTATGCCAGAACGGTGCCTGCTCCCCAGAAAACTAGGCAGACCTACCCCCAGCCGATGTCTCTGGCCATCAGGGAGAGCCAGCCCAACGAGGACACCACGTAACTGGGGCTGAGGCATCTCCCAGGAATGCGTGAGACAGTGGGTTTTTTTAGGCTTTATTTATTTACTTTTAGAGGGGGGAAGGGAGGGGGAAAGAGGAGAGAAACATCAATGTGAAAGAGAAACATGGAAAGAGAAAGAGGCACCCTGACTGGAACCTGAAACCCAGGCATGTGCCCTGACTGGGAATTGAACTGGTGGCCCTTCGCCTTGTGCAGCAATGCCCAACTAACTGAGCCACACGGGTCAGGGCAGAATGTTTTTATTTGGGGTGGAAATATGCTTCCCTGTATTTTCAATCCACAGATACCAGTTCCTATCTCCAAAACAACTCACTGAATTATCTTGAGACATTTGTTTTTTTGTGTGTTTTCTCCACTCAAATGTTTCTCCCACTTCAAGGAGCAATCACTTTGCTTGGTCCCTGCTAGGTTTTGGGAATCTAGAACAATTCCTGGTACAGAATAGGTAAAAAATGGACGTGATTTTTTAAATGAAAGAATGAATGTGTAAATGCCCTCACCTTGGACTTTGAGATGAGCCAGACGAGTGTGATGAATGATAAGACATCCAAGGGCTGGACAGAGGTCAGTTTGGAGAGTTGCTGATGAAAGGGTGACAAGTGATGCTATGGGAGGGGACTAAGGTCTTTGGGGAAGAAGGAAAAATAGAGAAATGCAGGCAAGGCAAGGACCCTGGACCCTCACAGTAATGCACCACATGTTCTATTTTATAGATGAGAAACTGAGGCTCAGAAAGCCCAGAGTTATAAGACTCAACTATTAGAGTTGAGGTTTGAACTCGATACATTTGTAGCCACTTGCCCTTTCTGTTGTTAATTCTAAGAAAACTTTAACTCTCAGAGGGAGGCGAAGCTGTGAAGTAGAGAACACCCACTGCACGCTCGCCTCACATCCAGCGTTGCAGAGGCGTTACAGATGTCGCAACCCATCCTCACAGCAACCCCATGAGCGTGGTACTCTTCCCCCCATCTTACAGATGGGAAACTGAGGCACAGGGGACTCAATAACAAGCTAAAGTCCTAGTCATTAAGCAGGAGAGCTGGGACTGCAGCCAGGTCTCCCCGACAATGAACTCTCTGTTTTTAACCATTTCCTATATACCCAGACATTTCATTAAAACTATGAAACTTTCATTAAGACCATTGAGCCTCTGCTGCTATTGGTCTTTATGAGAAGCCGGTGCTGAAAGGCGGAGAGGAGGCTGTGCTCTAACCTACGTGGTGTTTACGGACAGCAGCGGGAGGGCAGTGCGGTGGAAGGAGCTGCTCATTAAGTGTAAAAATAATTCTACTGCCTCTGGTGCAAACAGAAACTATTCTGGTAGTGTTATTTTTTTTCTCATAGCCTTCTATTCATTTTAAAAGCATGTGAATTAATACTGTGAGTAAATGTATAATCCCTTTGTGGACATCCTTCACAAGGTTAGAGAAAAGGACGGCTGAATTCAGGATGCAAGGCTTTTGTTTTAGAATTTATTTTGTCATCGAATGCGTTCATTTGAAATAGGGCTTTTGCCTTCTGATTCCCCATTGCCTCTGCCTTCCATGGTAAGGTACCTTTGAATGAACATTTGACTGTGCAGTGACACCAAGTGGCTAGGTGAGGAATGATCGTAGGCTAACTTAGGACTGCAGGTTAGGGTAGAAGAAAATTCACCGAGCCAGGCTGCACACCAGATGCTACTTTGATCTGTTTAGATTTCAAAGAATTAAAATGAAGCTTCCACAGACCAGGCTTTAATAGTACCTTTTAAATAGATATCCTTTCCCACCATAAGGAACCAGGGTTCCTTAGAGAAACGACTAATTCCAGCTGTAGAACAAGAACTGTCAAGGTTGAAATATACCAGAAAGCAACGAAACCACCATAACTGCTATTCTCAAAACCACGGGAGCCCTGGCTGGTGTGGCTCAGTGGACTGAGTACAGCCAGTTTGATTCCTAGTCAAGGCACATGCCTGGGGTGTGGGCCAGGTCGCCGGCAGGGGGCGTGTGAGAGGCAATGGATAGATGTATCTGTTGCATATCCATGTTTCTCTCCTTCTCTTTCTCCCTCCCTTCCCCTAACAACAACAAACCCATAGGAAATAACAAGTATTGTTGAGGATATGCAGAAAAGGGAACCCTTGTGCGCTGTTGGTGGGTATATAAATTGGTACAGCCACTATGAAAAAATGGTATGGAGAGTCCTCAAAACTTAAAAATAGAACTCCCACGTGATTGGGCAGTTCCACTTCTGAGTGTATATGTCAAGGAAATACAATTACTATCTTAGGACATTATCTGAATCCCCATGTTCAATGCAACATTATTTATAATAGCCAAGACCTGGAAACAACTTACCGTATTCTGCTGTGTTTAATGTGCTCCTGTGTATAATATGCACCCATGTTTTTGTGCACCTTATACACGGGATGATTATACCCATTATCATACCCATGGTATGTAATCATTACACCCATGTATATTGTGCATCCTTATTTTTTCCTCAAAGATTTGGGCAAAAAAGTGAGCATCATACATGGCAAAATATGTCACTGGCCATCCACAGACAAATGGAGGAAGAAGATGCGATATATAAAGTCCTGCCCCTTGTGACAATGTGGATAGAGGCCTTGCGGGCATTATGCTAAATGAAATGTTAGAATAGCAAGTACTATGATCTCACTTACATGTGGACTTAAAAAAAAATGAGCCCTGGCTGGTGTAGCTCAGTGGATTGAGCGCCGGCCTGTGAGCCAGACAATCGCGGTTCGATTCCCAGTCAGGGCACATGCCTAGGTTGCAGACCAGTTCCCTGCAGGCCAGTTCCCAGCAGGGGATGCATGAAAGGCAACCATACATTGATGTTTCTCTCCCTCTCTCCTTCCCTTCCCCTCTAAAGATAAGTAAATAAAATATTAAAAAAAAAAAAAAAAGAACTCACAGATACAGAGACCATATCGGCAGTTGCCAGAGGTCGGGGGTGAGAGAACGGAGTAAAGGTGGTTAAAAGGCACAAACTCCTAGCTCTCAGAGAAACTAGTTTCGGGGATGTAATGTACAGTAAAGTGACTGCAGCTAGCAATACTGTGTTGTACATTTGAAAGTTATTAAGAGAGTGCTCGTCTCAAGAAAAATAATTGGTAAGTACATGCGGTGGCAGATGGAAACCAAACTTCCTGCGGTAACTGTTTATCGAAGCGTGATGGAATCGCCCCCGCACCTGGAGTAGACAGTGATGCTCTCCCTGTCCTCGATCTTCACGCTCTCGTCACTGGGAACCGGCGGGTCGCTCTGAAACTGGTTTGGGATCCGGAACCAGACTTTGATCCTCTTCTCCAGGGCGCCGTCTTCACTGGGGAACACGGCAAAGGAAACGGGAACGGTCATCCCCATCCCGATTCCTGAAAAGAGGGAAACCCAAGGAGTGCGGTGGGAATGAAGCCAGAACCGCTCGGGCCTGCGGAAGGCCTGCTGTCCCATTCTCCTTCCGCGACAATCCTTTCTGTTCACGAAGTCAACAGTAAACACTCGAGACATTAAAAATATGCAGCCAGACAGACCCAAAAGACCTCCAATTTGCATGTATTGGAAATTGGAGTGTAGTGAGTGATTCCACTCTTTCGGAAAAACAAATTATTTGGTAATATATATCAAGACTGTGAATATATCAGTATCTAGTTACTTTCTATCTAAATAATCAATTTAAAGGAAATACCCAAAATACAGAAAAGACTATGGGTAATAGGATATTCATTGCAACAGAATTTATAATTATGAGAAACTAGGAGCCACATAAGTAGGCTTAAAATCGGAATATATCTAAGTAACCTATAGGCACACGAAGCAATTTAATATAGCTAGTAATTATTATGCTGAAGAAGACTATTTAGCAATAGTGGGGAAAAGTGATGAAATAAGTAGCAGGAGCAGGATATGCAATTACACAAACACTATGATTATATTTTAAAAGAGCCCTAAAGAAATACCCCTCAAAAGACATGATTGTCCTAGAAAAGATGGATGAGGGGTGCTGTTTTGTTCTTTTTAAGACTTTCCTTAAGGAGTTTTATAACTTTATACATATTTCTGTACAAAAAAATGTTATGATAGTGTTAAGAAGAAAAGGATTCCTTCCTGACCTCCCACAGGTCAACTTATCATCTACAGCCTGGTTACTGTGGTCCTCGTAAGTGCTACTGAGGTTTCTAACCTAAGTTATCAGCTTGAAAACTATCCTAAAAATTCTCGCGATATCTCTGTTTTCACCTGGCTTTCTGACCCATTTTGGGTTTGCAGTGATTCCAAAGTACAGTCCAAATTGGAGAGTGTAAAAGTTAACTTAAGTTCATATGATTTAATGCTAAGTGGTACACGGAACTTCAGGCCTATCATTTTAAAATAGGGAGGCAGCCAGCACCGACTGCTGTCTTTTTTTTTTAAATGCTCATCACGACTATTGCCTTTATTCCTTGTTTAAAAAATTTATTTTAGAGACAGAGAGGAAGAGTGGGGAGAAAGAGGGGGAGAGAGAAAAAAAAACCCATTGATTTGTTGTTCCACTTATTTATGCATCATTGGTTGATTCCTGTATGCACCCTGACCGGGGATCGAACCTGCAACCCTGGTACATCAGGATGACACTTCAACCAACCAAGCCACCTGCCCAGGGCTCTGACTGTTTCTTTGCTGGAACAGAGCAAGGGACCAGAGGGGTAGTCATCACTCGCTGTCCCTCAGTACCCCATGGAGTCCAAGCCACCAGGGGGCTGACTATGGAGATTTCCCGCCTGGGAGCACAAGCCTGGAGTCGGAGGCCGGCCCTCCCTTTGTGGCTGGCTTTCTGTGGGCACACTTCCCCCAGGCTAGCAATCCAAAGAATGAGCACTGTAGGGTTTAACCCCCTCCCCCCACACCACCACCAACAAAAAGGCCTTATCTAAGAGAAACACTGGAACTCAGTGATATCAGGCAGGGATACTACAAAGCCAGGGGTGGCCTGGGCTGAGTCAGTGTGGTCTCCCGGAGCTCCCTTCGTCAGGCAGCCCAGCAGGCTCGCGTGCCATTGAAACGGGTCATGACAGGTGCCTTGTGGCCTCTCCCTTGTGTTTTTCACTGATAAAGTGAGACCATGCTCCCCTGAGACCAGAGCCACATCCTTCAGGGACACTCACCCTTGTCATTGGTGCCTCCCACATACTTCATGACTCTGGGCATCGCTTCCCGCAGAGCGTCATCCACTGGCTTACCCGTCACCTCCACTGTGGCAAACCTCCCGCCTTCACAGGCCCTTTCCTCATAGGACACTTCTCCCTAGAGACAGAGAACACACAGTGCTTAAGAGATGGCCAGTAGCAACCTGTGAGGACTCTGGAAGCAGTAATAATCCAGCAACAGGAGGGGGAACTTCCCCTAACTGCCTGAGTATGGCCACAGGGTGGAAGGAACAGCCCTGAGTATAAAGGGCCATGAGAAACAGGATCTGGGATTTCGTACCAATGTAGAGACAGCAGAAAAAACTTCATGCAATCAGTATTCTCGGAGAGGGAGGAGAAAATATTGCCTTCAATAGCACCTAGAACATTCCCAGAATGCTATAAAAATAGAATGTTCAGAGATCAAAGAGCTCTTGGAAATTTAAAATAAAACAAATAAAAAATTCAGTAGAAAGGCTGGACAATTAAGTCAAAGGAAATCTCTCAGAAAGTCAAGTAAAGAAGGCAAAGAAGTAGAAAATAGAAAAGAAAATCAGAGGATCAAGCCAGGAGATCCAATATCTGAGTAACAGAAGATCCAGAGGAAGAGAAGAGGAAACTGGAAAGGAGGAAACGCAGAGACACAACAACAATCCCACAAAACTCTAAGGCCCCATTTGAGCCTCATTCCAGTAACAGGGCTGCCGTTCTAGAAGAACCAGGGTAGTCCTGTTCACACTCTGCTCCCAGATGCGATCCCTCTCCCCACGCATCTCACTGAATCGCACCCGCCTCTCCCCTGAACACTCAGCTCCATGGCCACTTCCCCACGACCCCACCTCCCTAGCAGCCTCGCCTCATCACCATCCTGTGTGGGGTCCCTGGCCGAAGGTCATCGTTCTTTCCTGTGTAGACCCCTGCAGCTCTCTGTCATCTCCTCCTCTTTGCCATTTGATAGCTTAGTAACATAATTTGTATTTCTGAATATACGGTAAGCAGGTGTCTTCAAACTTTAAAAAAATGACAGTCCATAACAAGAAATACATGTTCACATCATACCCTGTCATGAACATGCATATGATTGAAACAGTTTCACAAAATAATACTTTACCCTTATGGACAGGATGCATCCTGATATACTTATCTTTTTTTCTATTTACTCCTGTTTACTTTTATTCTACTGTATTTGAGTGGATTTTATTATTTCCACTCAGAGAAGAGAAACTTGCTCCATATTGATTTTACCATCAATACTTGCTCCGTATTGATTTTACCATCTGGTGGCAGAACACTAGAGAAACCCGCTGAGTCTCCGTGGACAGGAGCCACGCCACAGAGCATCACACGTGAGGCGTTCAATGGAAATTTATTGACTAAAGAGCTGTCACTCTTACTGGTGATTATGAAAAGTAGACACGAGAAAGGACCTGGCCGCCCCAGGCCGGTCAAATAGGCCTTCCTGTGACGTCCTAGACTGTGGACGCCCGACTCCCAGGGGGACAGAATGAGTCCCTCCAGAGGGGCGGGACTGTAGGGCTGCGTGTGGCCTGTGTAGTGTGAAAAAGTGCAGTGTGTTCTATTAGAATTTTATATTTAGAATGTAAAGAAATACCTGATGTTTTTATAACACAAAATTAAAGGAGAGTAGTGAGAACGGGTCCAGGAAACTTGGAAAGCGAACCCTAGGTGCCAATTGTATAAACATCCCTGCCCTGCTTGACAGTCGCTGCTCCAGCCACCATGAGCCACTTGTATTGTCGCCACCATCACACTGTTCTTTGACTCTTCTCTTTCACCCTGTGGGTGACATTATACCAGACCAACAGTCAAGAGGCCACAGACCGGCCTAGACTTCGGGGCATCGTGCCTACTAATTCTGTGCCTTGCTGTGAGGCCCTCCCTTCAGTGAGTCTGACATTTCCAGTGCCTTCAGTAGCAAATTGTTACATAAACTTGAGGTGTTTTGCTCTTTCTGGCTTTGTCTATTACAGCAGAGACCAGACTCAGCCTTCACTCAAAGTCCACTGAGTCTCACCCCTTATAATGTCTTAAATTCCAGAAATGCTACTCTGTAAATCACAGAGTTTCAGCATGAAAGAGGTTTAAAGTTCACCCAATCCAACTAATTTTACCAAAGAGGCAATGAAGGACCAGAGAGATTGAGTTGCCTAAGACCATGCAGCTGCTAAATGTGAAACTGCAACCAGAATTTAAGCCCCCAAATGTCATTTTACTGTTTTACGTTCAAACACAGAAACTAATGATTCTCTGCATGGAAGGAGGTCACTGAGGCCACCCACTGCAGCAGTATTTCATCTCCGGATGAAAAGAGCTTTGAAGGATGTCTCTGGAGAATTTCTAGCAGAAAGGTTTAAACAGGACCATGTTCTGCAATGACGTCGGTCCTCTGTGACCGGCAGTCCCAGTCGTTCCAAGGGGAGGCGATAAACAAATGAAATAAAGTTCCAAACTGCTTCTTGTGAAGAGCATATGGCTCATTCCAATTGCCGAGTGGGCACATTTAAATATACATAAAATAAGTAAAAAGCAGTGTCCCTTGTGTGAATAAAGAAATTACAAAGGTTGTTCATTTTTCAGGGTATCATGTTAAGAAAACATGATGGAATTAGACAGATCATTGAAAATTACTTCCTAATTGTCAAAGTGTCTTCATCCCCAGTAAGTCCTCAAGTTTTACATTTTAATCTAATGCTGTCAATCAACAACTACGGAACATCTACGGTGTAACACTTGCCAGGGGCTGCAAAACAGAGACGGGAGATACAATGTCTGACCTCACGAGAGGCACGGTCTGCTAGAAGTAGCCAGGAAACAGGTTATAAAATAACGGCCTGTTTAGGGGGAGAGGAGTGTAAAGGCAGTGTGGGACCACAGAAGAGAGTTACTTAGGTTAGTTTGGGGGCTTGGGTGTGTGTGTTTATGTGTTTGGGTAGGTTACGCTAACTCTGAGGGGTTTACAGATCATCCACCTGGACACTGGGCCACTGATGCATTGATCATTCAATAAACATTTATTGAGAACCTCTGCCAGGTGCTACAGATTTGGAGCTCAACGTGGTACAGGCAGTCTAGCTGGGTGGTGAGAATTATATAAATTATTATACAATGTCGTAAATGCTCTGGTAATTCAGGGAGGGCAATTCCAGATAGGGGGCACCACAGGGGTGAAAGAGAAGACTTAGGGAACAGTGTGATGATGGTGACGAATACAAATGGTTCGTGGTGGCTGGAGCAGTGACTGTCAAGCAGGGCTGAGCAAGAGAGGAGGCCAGAGGATCTGGCGGGGCCCAGATCCTGAAGAACTCACAGGCCGTCACAGGCAGTTGGGTGTGTAACCATCAGACCAGTGCTGGTGATCTGACAGCAAGTCAGTTTCGTTCAACCCCCAAATGAGTTCAACTGATGTGTGTGTGTGTGTGTGATCTAAATATAGGATTTTGCAACTGTGTCTGGGGAATGTTATAGGTGGTGTGTGCTCTCAGCCTGTTCTCCAGGAAGACTGCTAATAAAGCAATCCAGTTTGGTGCAGAAAGCCAAGACTCCCATAAAGAGTCTATCATCCTTTAAGGCTTAACTCAGCCCCACTTCCTCTTCCTCAGTGATCCTTCCTTCCTATGAACTCCAAGGGCAGCCAGCTCTAGAGTGGAAGGGCCCTTACCTATCTGTCAGTCCACCTGCCTCCTGCTATTGCTGAGTGAGCTTCCATTGTGTCCAACAGGTCTGGAGACCAGCAGAGACCGGCACTGGGATATAAATTTGGGAGTCGTCAGCACAAAGGGTGACTACAGCTGCAAATGAGGTTGAGATTGCCCAGAGAACATTCACAGAACATTCTATATAAATCAAATTGTGTTCGTTAATCCCCTGCCTAACAGCCTTCTCTGACCAAGTTCCTAACCTATCCCAGGTGGTCCAGGGACCACCTAGCTTCTACCTACCTTGCCAGCTACACCCAGAGTGCCTGCTCACTGGCCCTCTGCTGTTTCCTTAAATGTCAAGGTCAACCCTGCCTCAGGGCCTCTGTGCCTGCTGCTTCCTCTCCTGTCTCTACCTGAGGGACCCCTACTCCCCCAACAGATCCCAACCTGAACGTCTCTTCCTCAGAGAGCATCCTAATGAAAAACAAGCTCCCAGTGGTATTTTGTATAGGTGCTTGCTTGTCCGTTCACAACACAGTACTTATTGTAATTAAAATGGAATGGTAGTGTTTGTAACTTCCACCTGCAGCCGTAGCCCCATGGGGTCAGGGATAGTCCGTACTGTTTTACCACTGTGTCTCTACATCTTGCACGCAGTAGGCACTCTATTCGTGAGAAAGGAGGCAGTGGAGCGAAGCCTGGTTTTTACTCTAACGACAAGGAATGCAACAGCGGCAGCTGGGTGGAGAGATGAGACCCTCGTCTAGTTGTATTTATCCTGGAGAACAGTGGTCACAATGCCTTAAGGTGGTTCTGTGGCAGAACCAGCAGTTCAGAACCGGTGCTTCTCCACTGCCAATTTTCACAGCATCTAAGTCCAGAATCTCTTGCTAAACCCTCAGGATCTCTGAGAAACAGGTTTGAGGAATGGACATTAAAAAACTATTTTAAGGAGCTGAATCTGAGTGGAGTTCTCTCTCTTTCTGCAGAAAATAAAGCAGCCAAGTTAATACAGCTAACACATTTGATTTTTCAAGTGTGATTTCTTTAAGTGCAGCTCCTTGTTCCATAGAACATAATAATAGTCCCTCTCTGCCCACAGTCAGCTAGTTCATGCTCCCATTTGGTTACCAGAAGACGATGTTGGCCTGTGGTCACCAATTTTCATATTTAGTGGGAACCCTGGCCATGTTCAAGTCCCAGACAGAGATCTGACAAGAATTAGCTGCTTGGTGTGGGATTTGCAAGTCCCTCTGTAAGCTCATGTCCCCTCTTGCCATTTGGGTGCGTATACATTGCTAATTTTGAAAGCCAATGTTCTCATTATAAGAAACTATTGATAATAACAACCATTATCATCATCAACCCCACTTAGTACTTTCTATGTGTAAGGTTATTATTTTAAACATTTTACATGGATTCACTCATTTGATCCCTCCAGCAACCCTGTGAAGAAGTCGGTATTTTTATCTCTATCTTCAGATGAAGCTGGAAGGAGCACAAGAGGTTGTGGGCTCCTGGGCCACTTAAGTAAGTCACGTGCCCACGTTACAGTTGGGCAAGCGGTGGAGCCAGGATTCAAACCCAGGGCGTCAGGTCCCACCCAGTGTGGACAGGCTGGACACAAGCGCCCTAAGGATGTCAGTTGTTGATGTCAGTGCTGCTCTGAGCACCCGAAAGACCCACCCAACCCAACAAAGCGACTGCGTGTCCCCCTCCCTCCCCAAGCAACGCAGAAGGCACATGATAAGGTCTGCAGCCGCCTGGGCCTCCCCCCAGGTGCCCGGAATCAGTCTCGGACATCTGGTGAGCCCAAACCCGAGTCACATGGGGCGCCGTCTGTGCCACCGCTGTGCCCAGGAGAGCAGACAACACTTTCTCACTTAGACTCTTCCCAGGGTAAGGGAGAATTTCAGGGAGAGGCTCTCTTCAGAATAAGAGCACCCTGAATTTTCATATATATATATATATATATACACACACATACATGAAAGCTTTACAAGTATCTGAATGCTTTACAAGTATCTTAATTAATTGTTACATAGAAGACACTGTCATTCTCATAGCTGAGGAATTTCAGGGTCCGGAGGTTAGTAAGCACCCTAGTAGAGGTAGAGAGAGGATTATCTATGACCTGAGTTCAGATACCTGGATTACTTGGTACCTGAGCTAGAACCATGGTGGATTCTCTAGCAAGAGCCACAGGGAAGCCCTTGTACCAGGAACATGACAGGGTGGAGAAGGAGAGGGAGAAATATCCTGGTTTCTCCCACCTCCAGCCCTCTTGTCTCCCACTAGTACCTCCCACTGGGCGAACCTCTCAGCAAGCCAGCTGAATCTGGAGCCTGGGAAACAGCCCACAGGGGTCAGCCCCCACTCCACGTGGAGCACATAGAGCCGAGCAGGAAGTGGATGAGGAAGGGGTCTGAGGGCAACAGGCGGCAGACCAGCCCAGACCACCAGCCTGCACTGCATTTTCCGTTAACCCCAAAAGACCAAGGGGGCCAGATTCTACTCCGGAAAGAAAAGCTCGGTGGGAGTTGTTGGTAACCTGTGGATTCTTCTAGTGTTGGGGCCAACAGGGACCCCAGAGCTCACTAGGCCGAGTCCACAGACTGGCATGTGCACAGGCAGATCCTGCCCCAGACAGATCCTTCTGCTTGCAGCGCTTACGAGCCTTTGCCCTTAGTTGCCAACAGTTAAAACTGACACAGTTGCCTTACTTGAAACCACAGCTTCGGTCGGAAGCTCCCTGTTCCTTCCTCCTCCTCTCTGCCTGCCTTTCTTCACAGCACCAATCACCATCTGATACATATGACTTATTTGTTCGTTAGCCACTAAAGTGTAAGTTCCAAGAGGACAGGAATGATGTCGGTTTTGTTCCATCCCCACTGCCTATAAAAGTGCCTGGTGCACAGCTGGCACTCGAGGAACAGTTATTTGTTGAACGAGTTAATTTCAAATTGAGATTTCACACTAAGAATCTGGATTGCTGGTTTTCCTGAAACAAATCTGGCCAGTCTAGTTCACATCACTGCGTAGCAGCAATGCCTGGAGCCACCCTGCCTTGCCGTCTAAAACGGCCCACTTCACTCATTTCCATCAGCTGCCTGGCTCCTTGTAGGCATTTGAATGTCACCCTTGATCAGGGCTAAAGGGCTCATTCTATAGCTGAGGAAACAAACGCCCACAGATGAAGTGCAGGCCTCTCTCTGCAGTTGCTAAGGAAAGCAGAGTCCCAGTGAGGGCTTCTGTGCCAGGACGTGGTCACCAGACAACACAGTCCTTTAACAAATGAGGCCCTGGGTGCGAAGTTGAGCACGCACAGCCACTACATGCACACAGTACCCGCCAGGGAGGAGATTGTAATTTAGCGGCCGACTCCTTGTTCTGAAGGGGCAGGCCACTTTGCCTGTGTTGGCAGTGATGCCAGTCTCCGTGGAACACAGGAATTATCAAGGACAGCACTTTTTCTGTCTTTTCTGCAACCCGGGGTTTCTCAGAAAGCGATGTTCAGAATGTTTAAATGAACGAATGCATTCAACAGGCGCTGTCCATCTCACCAAACTGGGATCCTCCCAGCCAATCAGCCTGGCTTGTCCGTGTCACCTCCTCCCCGCAGATCCCTTGGCCCCGCGGCACTGGACCTTCCCTCCTTCCCAGTCCAGTGCGGGGCGCACCCACGGCAGAAATCTCAACGCGCCATCCGGGCACGTTCCCGTCCCACCGGCCCTTCAGAACCCTCTCCAGCCCCGAGCAGGACGCGTTGCGAGCGCTGAGCCTTTCGGGGTCCTCGGCAGCCCTGCAGGCCTACCTTGTCCCCTTTGCTCAGGACCTGCCAAGGCCACGTCTCTACGCTGCCGAACAGCGAGTTCCTGATCATGCCCAACATGGTGTCGCCGCGGGGCTCCGGACCCACAGCCGCACGCGGGGCGGCAGAGGCGGCTGGGGCGACGGGGGCAACCGCGGGTCACGCGGCGAACCAGCGGGGTAGCGCGGAAGGGCAGGGAGGGCGGGGCGCCTCGGACTCCGCCCCACGGAACCCTGCGCGGTGGGAAGGACGGGGGTGGGGCCCCGGGGCGGTGGGAGAGGCGCTCCGCCTCTGCGGGGCTGCACGGGGTCCTCGGGACGGAGCTGACTCTTGGGATCCCGGCTGGTAGCTCTCAGCCCCTCCTTCTATTCTAAGACTGGTTTGCGAGGTGCTGCAACCTGATTGTCCCCCGTAAAGAATGTGGGGGACAGCGGCGGTGGAAAGCTTCCTACCTCCTCTCACATTTCTGTCCAGCGCCCAGGCCAGATTTGGAGCAGCCCCTGATTCCTCCCGGGCTTTCCCAGGCCTCCCCTAAGGCTCTGTTCCCACGGGCACTGCGGTCCAAGTTCACGGTCTCCTAGCCCCTCCCGCCCCGCCTCTGGAGCGCCCGACAGGGCGTCTCCACCCAGAGGTTCCCCCAGTTTGCTCTCCCACCCCCAGCTCTCTTCTGGACAACTGAAAAGGCAACTTCACTAGCTTTCCGTTGTACTTACCAGCGTCTTTCCTCCAATCTGTTTTCAAAACAGGTTCCCCATTAATTTTCCAAAGCAGAGCTTTCCTCATTCACTCCTTTTTTTCTATTCAAAACCCACTAAATTTTAGTGTCATTTACTGAGTGCCTGCTCCCCCTGCAAGTGTTTCGCAAATACTATCTCCATTCCTCACACAACTAAACATAACTATTTTACTGGGGAGGAACTCGAGGCTCAAAATAATTCCGTGACTTTTCTAAGGTCAAAAACCGGTATGTGGCTTGTCCAGGATTGGAATCGTGACTGGTGTCAATGTTCACCACGGTTTTATTGCACTCTGTCGCCCGACTTTTACCATCTACGTACGCCCTCGGTATGTCCCTGGCCCGGTGCCACACCGGTGCCTCCTCCATCAGGATGTCTTCCCTGTCTAGCTCACCCCTGGAAATCCGACTTCTCTGAACATTCCACTTTCACTGTGTCTCCAGAAACACTGGGCGGTCCTTCTGTCTGCAGCTGTGCTATTTTGTTGCTATTTTGTTATTCTTTGTGCAGGCAGCTCTGAACCAATGCGGAGGGCTGATGGATTTTCTGCTCAGCCTGCATTTTTGAGACCAGGCACACTGAACCTTGAGCCAGGCAGTGGGAATCAATGAGGGTGATACGGATGACTTCCAGCTTTGTGGTAATAGATATAACTTTATTAACCACGTATAAAAAAAGGTATACTTTTAAACAAATATTTGTCAATAACTCTAACAAATGGCCATTTAATTGTTTTATATTTCTTGATTCTAAAATGCCATTGATTATAAGAGGCACTATTATTTCATATGCCACCCAGAAAGAAAACAAATGCTACTAAATAAACCATAACCTTCAGTTGATTTGAAAGTGTGAAATGACATGCAGCTCACAATTCATAAGAGATTGTAGGTTGCTTTGTAAGAGCTCCTAAATATTTTTCCTGCTCACAGCCATGTCTCCTCTGCAAACTAAATCTAACCTTAAAGGACAAAGACATATTTAGCTTTTTCTCGTTTGCCACACTTAGGAGTTGCTTAATAACTGTTGAATGATTAACAAAACTGTTCTTGAAATTAGACCTAATCACCCATTATAGATACTGAATTAGGTGCAATGAAATGGGCCTATTGCTTAGCATAGTCAAGCAGTGAATCCGAAGACATTGGCTCAGAAGATCTGGTTTTCAACACAACTCTGTCTTACTGGTGTGACTAATGGCTCTCCTGCAAATTGCCTAACCTCTGCAGGCCTCAGTTTCACACCTGCAATGTTGGGGTCATAAGGTTACCAGGGACTGTGCTCTCTCTCTCTCTGCACCCCCGTGGCCAAACCGGTTCTGGGACCAGCAACTGAGCCCAGCTGCTTCAAGATCAGTGCGTGGATGCGTCATTTTAAAGCACAGATTGTTAGATGTTTTTCTTCATCTAAAGACTTTGATATGTTGTGAAATACTTTCTTTTGCAATTTATTAGATATTATCATTGAAGCATATTGAGTGTGTATGCGCTGTGTACAAAAAAATTGTATGTGTTGTTTATGCAGTGATTTTAAGAATAAAATGTAATGAAGAAGCAGAATTTGGTAAGAGAGAGATAATTAATTACACTCACTGAGGGCTGGATATGAGCCAGTACGTTGTTAGTGCTCTCTATATAGTTTATCTCATTTAACTTTGACAGCAACCTTGGGAGGAAGGTACTATTATTTCCCCAATGTTGCTGATTAGGAAACTGTAGCAAAGAGAGGCTTGGTAATCCATCTCAGAGCAGACAACTACTAATAGTGAGGGGCAGGGTTCAAAGGCAGGTACTGTAGGGCCAGAGCCATGCTGCTCTTAATGCTTCTCTAGGCACCTGGGGCAGCGGGGCGGGAAGTATGAACCCAAACCCCCAAATCACCAAGCACTGAAGAGGATGGGAAAGAAGACGCTCACAGTTAATCAGAGCAATTGCTGCAGCTGCCTACTGGTAGTTGTTTCCCTGGAGATGATACCCAAAAAGAGAGAGTAGTTCAAGAGATGGGGGCGGAAGGTGGGGGTTGATATCTACAGCAGAAGAACCCACTAGAAATCTGGAGCTTGATGGGAGGAGCCCTCAGAAGCAGAGTTTACCCAGACTGAGAGTGAAGTACTGGCGGTAGTAGGTATTTATGTGCAAAACAGGACAAAGCAGCACCCTATCAACAGAGTCGTATGCATGTTAAATTGTCTAATAAAAATTTACAAGGGCAAGAATGCAAGACCTGGGGCTCTGGGAAGAGAGGCTGGTGAGGAGAGGGTTAAAGAGGCAGAGAAGTCAGTTCTGAGGAGAGAGGAAGATTTTGAGGGCAGAGACTTTACTGGAAAGTCTTCCTTTCTGATGCAAGATGATTGAGATGATCTCCTCCCCCATCTCTGCAGAAATGTTCATTAAACCAGCACACTTTCTTGGGCGAGTGGGTTATAAGGGAAGCCAGAGTTGAGACCTGACTTAAGAGAGCATAAGATGAGCAAAGAAGGTTCAGTGACTTTAGGGTTACATTTGGCTGACTTTGATTTTTACCTTTATTCTAACTTTGAGTTGAAACTCAGGTATATACATATCCTGGGGATGTGCCATTTCATACAATCTTTCCCCCAAATAGGACTGAGTAATGGAACCTTGTTCCACTGATGTAAAGTACTGCACCAGGGCATACGGAGCATTTTGCTTCTGGTCTCCCCCTTTCAGAATGGGCTTTTTTTTTTTTAATCACTTGTACACTTTAAAAAATTTACATTTTACTTAAATATTCATGACAAATATGTTAACAATACCACCAATAATATCAATGCAGAGAAAACAACCCCTAACATCTTTGGAGTCTTTGCCATGTGACAATTATCCCTCAGATATAGTTCTCTGCCCTGAGAGAAGAACCAGCCCAGAAGTGCTGGGAAGCCAAGTTCCTGAGCTTTCAAAGCTGAGGCTGAAGATCAGACTCAGGACTACAGTGTCTCTGGGGAGAGATGTGTTGGGTTGGCTAAAAAGTTCATTTGTTTTTTTCTGTAAGATGGCTCCAGTAGTGCTTTGTTGTCTTTAAGTTCATTCGAAACAATTTTGTTAGATTGTTTTGTGACAGCTGTCATATCAGCATGAATTTTTTTAAGAAATCAAAATTGGTGAATTTTTGTGTAGCCACTTAAATACTGAAGATGGAAGAAAATATGCAATATTTTTGGCATATTATGCTTTATTATTCCAAGAAAGGTAAAAATGCAAAAAAAATGCAAAGAACAATTTGTACAGTGTATGGAGAAGGTGTTGTGACTGATTGAATGTGTCAAAAGTGGTTTGTGAAGTTTTGTGCTGGAGATTTCTCACTGGACAATGCTCCATGGTCAGGTAGACCAGTTGAGGTTGATAGTGATCAAATCAAGATACTAGTTGAGAAAAATCGATGTTATACCATGCGGGAGATACCTGACATACTCAAAATATCCAAATCATTAAAGTTACTGGTGAAAATGAAAAATGTGTCTTTTATTTTACAGAAAAAAATAAGTCGATTTATTTGCCAAGCCAGTAGGTGGAGAAGTAGCTAGGAAGGTCATCAGCATCTTTGGCTAGTCATGGACACCTTGGAAATGATCGAATTGCCCAGGTAGAGTATGTAGAACAAGACAAGAGATCACAGGACACTGCAGAACCCCAACATCAAAGGGGACAGGCAGTGGGGGACAATTGCACTAAGGAGAATGAGGAAAGTGGTGACATAAGGAGGGGAAATCCATGGAGCCACTGAACCAAGAAGCCAAGAGAAGAGTGTGTTCCAAGGAGTGATGAACAATATCAAATACTGCCAAGAATTCAAGTGAGGAAGGGACTGCAAAGTGTCTACTGGATGTAATAACAAGAATGCCTCTGACCTTGGCAAGAACAGTTACAGTGCAGGTTTGAGGGGCACAGAAAGCCAGACTGAGTGATCTGAGGAGTCTGTGGACAACAGCAAAATGGTGATAACACAGTCTGGTTGTGAAATGGGAGAGGGAACTACTTAGCAGCTAAATGAGGATGGGTGAAGATACTTTTTTTTTTTAAACATGGGAAAGACTGAAGCAAGTTTTAATTTTGAAAGCAAGGAGCTAGGAAAATGGGAGATGTAAAAGATTCAGAAGTGAGGTGATTGATTAGTCATATTTCTGAGAAGTTAAAAACAGATGTGAATCAGAAAGTGGGATTTTGGATATATGTTCTGTTAGAAGAGGAAGGAAGAGGAAAAGATGGGTAGAGGCGAATGTGCTTTCGTAGGTTGGAGGTGGGAAGTTGCGGAAGCTCATGTCAGATGGCTTTTATTTTTTCTGGTTCTGAGGATGACGGAGCAAGTAGCAGGACAGAGCAGGTACCAGCCTTTCCCTATGGGCAGGACAGAGGCAAATCAAATAATAATTGGCAATAAGGATCAGAATACAGTTGTATACTAAACCATATACTAAGAAGGCTAGAATTTATTATCAAGGTTGTGGGAAT